TAGTCTGTTTACTATTCTCGAGACTTGTAAAGCGTCAACAAGAAAGTCTTTACAAGATATAAATTACTTTGCAGCTGAAGCTGGAGAGATATTTGACGGTATACGAAAAATAATTGGAGATAAAGTCGTACTATCCAGTGACAGGGATCGACTTATTGAGGAATTTGAAACGTGCTCGATTTTATTTAAAATCTGATTATAAAGTGTACGTAGCAAGATCGAGCAATATTGCTGATCATTGTTGCATTTATACATTGAGCGATCCAGAAAAACGTGATTTTGCTCAAAGTTTTGATCATGAACGCGATGAATCGTGTGCTGAGTGCTCAAATCTAACGAGCACTCTGGATGAAATTGAACGGCTTCTAAAAGAAACAGAAAAGGATAAAGAGTTATTGGATCGAACTTTAAACAAATTTCGGTCATATCGTGAATCTATTGAAGCATGGAAGACTCACTTGCTAAGATCCATCAATCAATATTTATGTCTAGAAAATTTACTCGATAAACTATTTATCGAGCGATGAGATTCATATCAATCTTGATTGGGCCATGAAGTTTTTTCCTATTAAAAGTCGAGAACCACGATCAGAATTTTTTGATAAACGAAGTATTAGTTGGCATATCACTGTTGTAATGAAAAATGATGGAAGTGTGGTTAGTAAGAGCCAGACATTCGACGAGAAGAGCAATGTCTCATATGATAGTCAAGAAATCAATGAGTGCGAAATGACTGATCTCTCTCAAGAAAGTAAAGATGATGATAATATCATCAATGATAAAGAAACCAATAGTTTCAGATATAAGTTTTTCGTCCCTGTTTGTGACCAATGCTCGCAAAACAGCGAGACAATTGCGGCTATCTTTGACGACGTTGTATGCCGTATCAAAAGATCAAATCCATATATCAAAAACGCATTTATCCGATCGGATAATGCAGGTTGCTATCATTCGGCAAATACACTTGTATCAGCCAAGCGAATATCAGAAAAGACTCGTATAGCAATCAAACGAATCGATTTTTGTGATCAACAAGGCGACAAGGGTCCTTGCGATCGTTATGCTGCTGTTATCAAATCACACATTCGTCGATATTTGAATGAGAATCATAATGTGACGAATGCTTCTGAGTTTATCGAAGCATGTCATTCTTATATAAGAGAGTCTAGTGGATCAATATATAGAATTTGCCGACAAAAATCCCACCTCAGGTGCTTCTGTAAAATTATGAATATTGTGAGTCATTAATGTGTTTTCCAGATTATCGTAAATATCGGATCAAATGATAATCTTTTTAGAATATTACACGCTTATATAAATAATTGCTTCGCTTCGTCACACAGCATAACTCTTGCTACATATCAACGTTAAAGATATGATCAGACAATCGAATTCAACGAGAACGAAAAGAGACATGGATGTATGTACAATATTACACTTAGAAAGAATCTATTCACGTAAAAAATTAACTCTTTCCACTTTTCTTTTGTGTCTCTCCTCAAATTGATGATGTGCTATTGGATTGACAGCAAAATTGGTCTATATTTTACATGATCATAAAAAAACATAAAATCAATTCATTACTTTTATTTCAATAACAAATACGATGTACTTTTTTCTTATTTGTATCGAGCTCATATTTATTGAAATATGTCATATCTATGCGGAGAATAATCTAGATACTACATAACCTACTAAAAGTTCTATTTTTCATCAGAAAAAAAAATATTTATAATAATTTTTTCCTTAAAATGGTGTCTATTTGGCCAATACTGTAAGGCATTTTTCGACACCATTATAAGTTTTTTTAAACTTTTTTAAACCAATTTGTAGAGGGAAAAAAGTTGTACAAAATATGTGAAATTTAGCGTGGGCACTTTTAAAATGACTAAATGGTAGTTAATATACTGAAGACAGTTGACATATTTTTCACTCAAAAAATCGTCAATGTTAGACAGTATTTGAGAAATCACTCCAGATCATCACATTGAAATATAATATGTAAATAGCTCATTTTGTTCAGCTTTCGATGCTCTATGTTCTGGTAAATTACAATAATCATTGCATTAATTTATTGTCATTTAAAAGGACTCACCTTTTTCGGTTTGATTTTTGACAATATTTTGCAAATAACTTTGTCAGTGATAAAAAGTCGAATCGGACTAACATTTCACCAGCTCAACCAAATGTGCTAAAATTTGGATTTAGAGGTTTTAGATGATGCTGAATAAGATTAGAATATCAAATCAAACCACTAAATTTTGACGAGTGCTTCGATATCTAGCACGATGCTCGATGTGCTCATGAGTGCTCTCTTAACGTCTCGAACCATTTTTTATTTGTTATGATTCTTTATAAAGCAAAATGGTACGAGACAGAAGTCTGTAAATCTCTGGGACCATTTTTTATCTGTTATGGTTCGTTAGAAAAAGAAATGGTGCTGGATATAACTCTTTTAAATCTTTGGAACCATTCTTTTATCCTTTATGGCTTTTTATTTGACAAATTGGTGCAAAATAGATGTCTTTTAAATCTCTAAAACCACTTTTTATTTGGCCTGGTTTTTCAAATTATCTAGAATCTTTTGATGGTTTATTAATAAATCAATGAAACTCTAATAAATACTTCACCTTGACTAACATCTTTAAACGTTCAGTGTGACTATGTATTTTGGGGGAGTGCGTTTTGTGAGTTTGTAGAATATCATCACTTTGTTCGGGTTCATAGGTTCCTCGGATTTCATGACTGCTTCATGATTGCTATACCTTCTGGAATGCTTGGATTCTGTGAAGATCATAAGTTTCTCGATGTGCATACCTCTCATAAATCTCAGTAATGTCGCGGATTCTATTGGACATTACGATCAACCGGACTTCCGGAATCTCATGAGTTATTCTTGGCTAGAAAAAGAAGGCCAGCTTTCGAACATTTTCATTGATGATTCCACTTCAAACACATTCCACTTTTGGCTTTCCTTGATTCGGAATCGTATGGAATTCACGGAATACTAGTACCACTGCACTTAAATTTAACAGAAACCTCTGTCAAGATTTACGCCAGCTGTCTGTTTTTAGTGTGAATTTCACTCGTATAAACTTCATCTATACTTTCAGATTGCGCTGCAGAAAGCAATTAGGAATAGCGTAAAACTAGATTCTTTATTTCACAGATCAACTATATTCATGGAAACTGACCCTAAGCACAACAATTCTCGGAAAACCCAACTACAAAATTTCGAAGAAAGGTGCGATTTCAATGGTTTACTAAAAAAAGAGCACAAAAACATAATGCTCCTGCACGAATATCCTCGTGTAAAACAACAAAAAGCTGCCAGGCTATTAATAGCAAAAAACGATTACCAAAAGTTGACAACATTATGTCGCGAAACTAGTCTTGACTTACAGTCAATTTTTGAATTCGTTTGGCATAAGACTCTGAACATATATGGCAACAGCAACAAAACCATTATAGACACTACAATCTCCGACAAACATTCGTCCCAGTCCATTATGAATCACGACAATAACGATTTAATTCTACATGCAATCCAAAAAATTCAACATCACACAAATGAAACCACCGACTTACATAATGAGAGTCTCTCTGAAACGTGTCAAGCAAAAACAAATACAATGTTATGTGACAGCAGTTTTGTTTATACAACTTACAAAACCTCACAAAGCCGATTTCAGCAACAACAAAATCAAACTTGCTTCGAAAAAGAAAACACTTTTGAACAGCTCGATTATCCTTTAGCAATAGTTGCTTACGAAACAATGGAGAATGAAAGCATCACATTCATCTTAAACTATGCTGCAGAGTTATTTGACGACGCAACTATTGACAACATTTTAGCTGTAGTTTACGAATTGTTAACTCAAATTGGGAATAATCAAGTAAAACAAATATCTGAATTGAATTTCCTACCAAAAAATCAGTCGAATATGATCAATGAATGGAACAATACTTATCGAAATTTTCCAGAATCGAACAAGCGAACAACTCTGCACAAACTATTCGAAGAAGAAGTAGAAAAATCGGTTGATAAAATTGCTATTGTCTATGAAGATGTACAACTTACCTATGGAGAATTGAACAAAAAAGCAAATCAATTAGCACACTATCTTCGTTCAATACGTGACATTCATCCAGATGACTTAATTGCACTTTTGTTAGATAAGAGTGAATTGATGATCATTAGCATACTTGGTGTATGGAAATCTGGCGCAGCATATGTGCCCATTGATCCTAGTTATCCAGACGAGCGAATTCAGTTCATTCTGCATGACACTAAAGCAAAGATTATTGTAGGCAGCAAGAAGTACATCACAAGACTACAATCATACGATATCATAAAAATCGAGATTGATACCATTGAAATTAATGAATTATTAAATACCAGTGGCATGAATTTCAATCTCGAAACAATTACAGAGGGCAAGAACCTCGCTTACGTCATCTACACATCCGGCACAACTGGAAATCCGAAAGGTGTACTAATTGAACATCTAGGCGTCGTGTCTTACACGAACGATGTTAGATCTCGAGTTTTTGGCAACATCAATAACACCGTCGTACCAGAAGTCATTTTGTTTTTTTCAAACTATGTGTTCGATTTCTCCATTGAACAGTTTGTTTTGTCCATACTCAGTTCGAATACTCTACTAATCCTTCCGAGTACATTCACAATTGATAATAACTTCTACGCCTATTTAAACGAAAAACGACTGACATACATGAGTGCAACACCAACTCAGATGTTAGAAATCGATCTCAAACAGCTCAAATATTTGAAATCAATAACCTTGGGAGGCGAACTAATGACTGAAACAATTTTTCAAACGATTCGTCGACAGTATTCTGGTAAAATAATAAACGCTTACGGACTAAGTGAGACCACTGTCTGCAATATGCTATATATCTATGAAAATGGAATGGAATATAAAAATTCATTAGGTTTTCTGCTGTCTAATACGAAGAGATTTGTACTTAATCAAAACATGCAAATGCTCCCGTTAAACGCTATTGGTGAACTTTTCTTGAATGGTGATTGTTTATCAAGAGGTTATCTAAATCGACCTGAACTAACTGCTGAACGATTTTTATCAAATCCATTCCAAACGGATGAGGAAAAGAAAGGAGGGAAGAACGGACGTATTTATAAGACGGGCGATTTAGTTCGTTGGCTACCAGATGGTGAATTGGAATATTTGGGTAGAAATGATCTTCAAGTAAAGATCAGAGGACTGAGAATTGAATTGGGAGAAATCGAAGCTGTTCTATCTTCGCATCCAGGAGTGAACCACTCTGTTGTTGTAGCTAAAGAATACAAGAAAAAGAATGTAGATACATCATCAGCAAAATATCTTGTTGGATATTATGTTTCTGACAATTGTATTGGCGAGTCCGATTTGAAGCAGTACATGCAAACAAGATTGCCTGACTACATGATACCAAATCGTCTGATTCCAATCGAGAAGATACCAGTGACTGTAACTGGTAAATTGAATGCAAAGGCATTACCAGATATTGATTTTTCTGTTGATGAAAACGATTATTGTGCACCAAGGAATGAATTAGAAGTGAAACTTTGCGAAATATGGTCGCATTTACTTGGAATAGAGAAGATTAGCATAACTGATGATTTCTTTAGGCTTGGTGGTGATAGTATAGGCTCGTTACAAATAGTTAGTCGAATGAGGCAAGACTATGGCTTAAATATTTCTATTAAAGATATTTTCATGTTTAAGACAATTGAAAAGTTATATGATAACAAACTGAAACATCAACTTATTCAGTCAAATGATATTAGTCAAAGCTCGAAGCGAATTGAATTGGAAAATTCAAGTGAAGAAGATGCGTCAACTTTTTTATTGCCCGTTCAAGAATATTTGCTAAAAGAAAAAGTTTTCTCTCATAATCACTTTAACCAATATGTTCTATTTCAAATAGCACGATTCGATGAAACTAGGTTCAAAGACTGTTTAGTCAAATTAGTTGCCCATAACGAGGCATTTCGAATAAGATTTAAGAGAAATAGTGAAGGCAAATATTCCCAATACTATCAACCAAGTCTTGATTTAGAAGAGATTAATCTAGTTCAAATAAAACCTTCGCCAGCAAATGAAATGAATTTTGAAACTAAATTGAATGAATTATTGCGAAAAAAAGTTGACATTGAGAATGGACCTATTTACATGGTGGCGTACTCATATGATCATGAAGACTGTAGTTCAGCCATCGTGTGGATCTTTATGCATGATTTTATTTTCGATTGGACTAGTTGTCATCTTATCAGTGAAGATTTGCAACGATTTTACACTGACAGTAATTTTATCAGTAGTAGTGGCTACAAGCAATGGTCAAGTGCTGTAAAAAGTTATGTCAATAACATTGGAACAAACGAGATGGCATATTGGCAAAATTTGATGAACTCTAATATGACCATTATCAATGAAACTCTTGGGAATAAGCAGCTAACAACTAACGACATAAGTGAGACAGAAATCATTTTAGCTGAAGAAATTACCAGAGACTTCCTTATTAATTGTAATAAAATCTACAATACAGAAATCGAGCATCTCTTGCTAACTGCACTTAGTTACACATTGCGCGACGAAATAACTAGCCTAAACGAGAACTATGCCATGTTCGAATGTTGTGCCAGAAATTTATTAAATAATTCGGACATAGATCGATCTATTGGAATGTTTAGGACAATATATCCAGTGCGATTACAATTAGATGATGATGATCTGCGCAATAGCATAATCAATATCAAAGAGCACATGAAACAAGTGCCCAATAAGGGTATTGGATTTGGTTCAATTATTTGCAATGAGGACAATGATTTTCCACGGGTTTTATTTAATTATCTTGGCCAATTTGAAAGCGAAGAGAATGGAAACGGTTACGAAGATAAATGGTGTTTACTTCACTCTTTTTGTAAAAATACAATGGATGAAAACACAACAGTACTAATCAAAATAAACTCATTTATCATGAACAAACAAATAGGATTGAATATAAAAGCAAAAATGGGTATCGAAAGAATTATTCGTTTTGGTAAAGTGTTTCAATTTAATTTTGAAAAGATTATTAAGCATACACAATTAGCAAATCGTTGCTATTTGACTAGAAGTGATATAAATTATGTGATCAAGAATAACGATTATTTAAATAGAATTCAGCTAGAAAAAGAAGTCGATGCTATCTTCATGGTAAATAGTCTACAACAAGGCTTGTTGTATCATTCATTGAAGCAGAGCAACGTAGATGATGCATATATTGTGCAGTCCGTCTTTCAATACCGAACAAACATCAATCAAGAACTATTTAAAATGGCTTGGGAACAAGCACAAAAGAGATTTAGCTCTTTAAGACTGCGATTTGCTTGGCAAGAAGAACTAGTTCAAATTATTGATAAAGAACAAGTATTGGATTGGAGATTTATTGATCTGACGACAGAAGAAAATATTTCAAATCAAGAATCTAAAATCGAACAAATACAAGAACAAGATAGAAATGAAAGATTTATATTGGACATCGGAAATCTGTTGAGAGTTTACTTAATACAACAGAAGAGTAATTTATTTGTAGTGATCTTCAGTTTTCATCACATTATTCTCGATGGATGGAGTTTACCCATATTGTTTGACTATGTTCACGAAGAATATCTGACCTTGATGGAAGGCAAACGACAAATCTTGACTGCTTCTTGCCGTTCTTCATTACGTGACGAGACCTATGAAAAGGCACAATTTTATTTGCAAAACCATCGTCTAGATAACACAGAATATTGGGAAAATGAAATTAACAAGATAGAAGAGAGATGTGACTTAAATGGTTTATTAAAAGAAGAATACAAGAATAAAGTGATCCTCAATGAATACGATCATGTCAAGCAGCCAAAAGCTAGAACATTGTTAATTAAAGACAACCTTTATAGAAATCTTAGAAACATATGTCGTAAAAATGGTTTCACATTAAGTTCGATTTTACAATTTGTTTGGCACAAGATATTAAACGTTTATGGCAACAGCAATCAGACAATTATTGGGACGATCGTGTCTGGTCGTAATCTGCCAATCGATGATATCGAAACATCCGTTGGTCTATTCATAAACACATTACCATTAATTGTGAATCATCATTCGGATGGGTCCATTATTCATGCAATCGAAAACATCCAAGATACCATGAATGAAATGATTGGCCGAAGTAACGTCACTTTCTCTGAACTAAGTAAAGGAAAAATAAAGCACACTTTATTCGATTGTCTGTTCGTTTATGAAAATTATCCAACTCTACAGAATAACAAAGTACAAAAACAAAAAGTTCTCAAGTTTGAAAAAAATTATTTTGTTGACAAGATTGATTATCCTTTAGCAATAGTTGCTTACGAAACGGTCGAGAACGAAAGTGTCACATTCATTTTAAAGTATGCTTCTGAGCTATTTGACGAAACAATTATCGACAACATTTTAGCTGTAGTTTACGAATTGTTAACTCAAATTGGAGATAATCAAGTGAAACAAATATCTGATTTGCACTTCCTTCCAAAACAACAGTTGAATATGATAAATGAATGGAACAATACTTATCGCGATTTTCCAAAATCGAGCAAACAAATAACGTTGCACAAACTATTCGAAGAAGAAGTAGAAAAATCGGTTGATAAAATTGCTGTTATCTATAAAGGGGTGCAACTTACTTATGGAGAATTGAACAAAAAAGCGAATCAATTAGCACACTATTTAAGATCAATATGCGACATTTATTCAGATGACTTAATTGCATTGATCTTGGACAAAAGTGAATTGATGATCATTAGCATACTTGGTGTATGGAAATCTGGCGCAGCATATGTGCCCATTGATCCTAGTTATCCAGACGAGCGAATTCAATTCATTTTGCAAGATACTAAAACGAAAATCGTCATAACAAATGAGAAATATATGACAAGATTGCATTCGTACGACTTGATAAAAATTCCAATTGATTGTGCACTAGTTAATCAATTAATAAAAACTAATAGCATGAATTTCAATCCTGATTTAAATACAAATGAACATAATCTTGCTTATGTGATTTACACGTCGGGTACAACCGGAAAGCCAAAAGGTGTGCTTATCGAGCATCAAAGTGTAGCTTCTCTCAGCAACGACTTAAAATATCGATATTTTGGCAATAATGATACAGATTCTTGGCCTCAAGCTATTTTATTCTTTTCAAATTATGTGTTTGATTTTTCGATTGAGCAATTAGCACTGTCAATACTCAGTTCGAATATACTTATAATCCTTGCAAACACATTTATAATTGACGACAAATTTTACTCTTATTTGAATGAACATCGACTGATATATTTGAGTGGAACGCCAACTCAGCTTCAACAAATCAATTTGAAAGAGCTCAAATATTTACAAACATTAACTATGTCCGGTGAACCATTACATGAGACGTTGTTTCAGAAAATTCGAACAGAATATACTGGTAAAATAATAAATGCTTATGGAATTACTGAGACAACTGTGTACAATATGGTTTACGTATATGAAAATGCGATGAAATATAAAAATTCAATAGGCTCTCTCTTGTCTAATACGAAGAGATTTGTGCTTAACAATAAGATGCAAATGTTGCCGGTGCATGCTATTGGTGAGCTTTATTTGACTGGCGATTGTATATCGAGAGGTTATCTGAATCGACCAGAATTGACTGCTGAACGATTTCTACCAAATCCATTTCAAACAAATCAAGAACAGAAAGAGGGCAAGAACGCACGTATTTACAAAACAGGTGATTTAGTTCGTTGGCTACCGGATGGCGAATTGGAATACCTTGGTAGAAATGACTTTCAAGTAAAGATCAGAGGATTGAGAATTGAATTGGGCGAAATCCAAGCTGTTTTATCCTCGTATCAAGGTGTGAAGCAGTCGGTTGTTATTGCGAGAGATGCCAAAACAGTTGATGCAGAAGGTAGATGGCGAAAATATCTTCTTGGATATTTCGTTGCTGAAAATGCTCTGGCAGAGTGTGATATAAAACAGTATATGGGAACAAAATTGCCTGATTACATGATACCGAATCGATTGATACACATTGAGAAAATACCAGTGAATATAAGCGGAAAATTAGACTCATGTGCTTTGCCTGAAGTAGATTTCGCGAAGAATGATGAAAATGAGCTTGTTCGACCAAGAAATGATTTAGAGGCCAAAATTGTTCAAATATGGTCAGATTTATTAGGCATACCAGCAGAAAATATCAGTATCCACGACGATTTCTTCAGTTTGGGTGGTGACAGTATTTTAGTAATAAAATTATCATTAATGCTAACCAAGTTGTTAGCGGTTAAGCTTGGTGTTGCGGCTATGTTTAAAAACGAAACAATCGCCAAGCTCGCATCACACATACTTCATGGAGTTGATTATGCCTCTGGGCACAATGACCATATGCTAACAATGAGTGCCGATTACTCAACTCATTCAAATTATATACTATCCTTCGCACAAGAAAGACTTTTCTTTATAAATGAGTTTAATGATGACAATTGTAAGCATGCCTATAATATACCAATATACACAAAATTTTGGAATATTAATGTTAGACGAGATTTGTTGCGTCAGTCTTTACTTGCTATTCTCTATCGACACGAGATACTAAGGACATTACTATATGAAGATAAGTCTAGTGTTGTTTATCAGCATCCACTTAATGAAGCAGATGCTGATTCACTGTTTCAAGTAAATGAAGTTTACGTTGACAATAACGAGCAGTTGGATGCAGAATTAATCCAGCTGGCTAAATATGTGTTCAATCTTAGAAAGGAGCTGCCAATTAAAGTAACATTTTATGAAATGAAAAACGAAGATGGATCTGATTTTACGACTCTTTACATGGGCATACTCATGCATCA